CCCCACCCCCTAATCCTAAAATTGCTTATCCCATACTCAGCCCTTCAATCTCCCCTGCATTTCCAGTCCATAAAGAGTGATGCCCAACTCAAATACAGAACTCCATATGGACAGCTGGGAGGCAGAAGAGGCAGTTACGCACGAATGTGTTGGAGCTGAGAGCTCCAGGGGTGGACCATCCAGGACCCAACTATTTCCCAGAAGTTTGTGGCACATTTTCTCTCACACCTCATAGATCAGAATCGCACCAAATGCTCAAGCCTGAAACATGTCGATGAAAATGAGAACGGCAATGGAAACACCCTGACTGGTAAGACTAATCTGAATTTCCCACTAAACTAAGGTTAAGGTCAAATTCCCAGAAGGATGGTTGCCTAAATAAAATAGGAATTTTCTTAACAAAGGATGTAAGGTTGGCAGCCAAAGTATCCGATTAAAAAAACTATTAAGTCAGAGGAGAAAAGCCACATGACTAAATAGATACTGAAAAAACATTACATAAAATTTGATATTACTTTTGTTATAAATTCATGAAAGGCTAGGAATGGAGTGCCTACTTCCTTAGACTGAAACACACACACACACAGACACACACGCCCATCTCTCTCTCTCAGACACCCATTTTTTAAATTAAGCAAGTGATAAACAATGAACTCGGAACTGTCCTGAGCAGTCCTCAACGGTGACACGACTCACTCTCCACAACGTTACTCTGCAACAAAGACCTGCCAAGTGCTCGTCCCAAGGCCGAACCACTTGCCCTCCCCCCACCCCCTTCTGCAGAGAAACCCCCCCACGAGGACTCCTGCTCGCTTCCCGCAACACAAACCCCTACTCGCTCTCTTACGCCCGAAAATATTCCTAAAACCCAATACAGACGTGACATGACAGACGAATCACAGGACCCGCTTCTCCAAACTCTTGCTTCTGCGCCAGCCACCCAGCGACCACTGACACCGCAGATAGGACTCCCGGATGTTCGGGGAACGGCGGCCGGCGAGGACCATACAGAGTGTTTCCAGCTCCTTCCAGCGCTCCTATAAGCCCCCTTATGACGCAATATGTCTGCGCCCAGATCGAGGATGGTTGCCTGGAACATTTTAAACTTTAAGCAGTGCGGCAGTAGAGGTTCCCCTGTTTTCAGTTTACCTAGGAAGGTTCTGAGTAGGAGGAGCAGCTGAAAACAAAGCATTTCTCCTTATTTCCAGACCACCTGAAGCACTGGACCTC